TTTTTTTTTTTTTTTTTATTTTTCAGATCTCTTGACAGCATGACACATCAGGAGGAGGAAAAAGCAGAATGTGTGCCTAGACAACAGCTCAGTTAGTTTTGTGGATTACATTTGCAGTAAAATGTATGGATCTATCTTGTGCTTGCCCTTGTATATAGACCATGAGACTTGACTGAAGCAATAAATATATCCTCCATCTATGGCGAACGATAGCCATGCAGCTGACAACATTCTGCAAAATGTGTCTCCATTAACAGCGTTTTTAAAGCTGACATCATTGGGCTTTATTATAGGAGTCAGTGTGGTGGGTAACCTTCTTATCTCAATCTTGCTTGTCAAAGATAAGACCTTACACAGAGCTCCCTACTACTTCCTGTTGGATCTGTGTTGCTCAGACATCCTGAGATCTGCTATTTGTTTTCCATTTGTATTCACTTCCGTGAAGAATGGCTCTACTTGGACGTATGGGGCTCTTACTTGCAAAGTGATTGCCTTTCTTGGGGTGTTGTCTTGTTTTCACACTGCATTCATGCTATTCTGTATAAGTGTCACCAGATACTTAGCTATAGCCCACCATCGGTTTTACACAAAGAGGTTGACATTTTGGACTTGTCTGGCGGTGATTTGCATGGTGTGGACCTTATCGGTAGCCATGGCCTTTCCACCGGTCCTAGATGTTGGCACCTACTCCTTCATTAGAGAGGAAGACCAATGCACATTTCAGCATCGTTCCTTCAGGGCTAATGATTCCTTGGGATTTATGTTACTCCTTGCTCTCATTCTTCTAGCCACACAGCTTGTCTACCTCAAGCTGATATTTTTTGTTCATGATCGAAGGAAAATGAAGCCAGTCCAGTTTGTAGCAGCCGTAAGCCAGAACTGGACTTTTCACGGTCCCGGAGCCAGTGGTCAGGCAGCCGCTAACTGGCTTGCGGGCTTTGGAAGGGGTCCCACACCGCCCACTTTACTTGGAATAAGGCAAAATGCAAACACCACAGGCAGGAGAAGGCTACTGGTTTTAGATGAATTCAAAATGGAAAAAAGAATCAGTAGAATGTTCTATATTATGACATTCCTTTTCCTGACCTTATGGGGGCCCTATTTGGTAGCCTGCTACTGGAGAGTGTTTGCAAGAGGTCCTGTGGTACCAGGAGGATTTCTAACAGCAGCTGTCTGGATGAGTTTTGCTCAAGCTGGAATCAATCCTTTTGTCTGCATTTTCTCGAACAGGGAGCTGAGGCGCTGTTTCAGCACAACCCTTCTTTACTGCAGAAAATCCAGGTTACCAAGGGAACCTTACTGTGTTATATGAGGGAGCTCTGCAAAATATTTTAGCCTTGTGAAACACTATCCTTCTCTGCTAAGCAATTGTGGCCTGTAGCCATGTCTTGAGAAGAAGATCAAGAATGGAGCGGAAGCAGCATTGTGCACACTTTGCAATAGCGCACCTGTAATCCTATTTTAATCTAAAGTGTTCCTGCTGGCCACCAGGGAAGGTTTGTAATTGAAAACAAAAGGACTGAACCACAGTTTTCTTGTGTTTCTGTGGTTGAAAGCTAGAAAAAAAAATGACAGGTGCTAGGAGCCACTGCTGAATGCTGTGTATATCACCACATATTAACAAGAACACCCAGAAAAGGTTAGCATTGGACATCTTAATAAATTGAATTGAGGTAAATATGTTAATAAACATGCTTTTAAGAGTTGGAAGACTCTTTGATATTTAATACAGTTTGGGGTTTCTTTTGCAATGATTGACAAGTGGGAATTCAAACGTACTGTATAAAGGATGTGCCATGCATTTCTGGATTGTCGTACTGAGGGATTGTCGATGAGGGATGAGTACTGGGGAGCATTCCAAAGCAGTATTTTTGGTTCAAATTCTATTCTACTTTTTCAAGTATTCTTTCTAGAAAAAGGAGGTTTTCTTTAATAGTGTAAAGAGCATTTCAATGTATGCTGTGTTTTGTTTTCCTTTTTCTTTGCTCTCTTTTTTCATTTTGTTTTCATTTGGCAAACGCTGATTTAATTCTTGTTTGAAACAAAAAACAACCAGAAAACCTAGCTGTCGATCTGTTTGGCAACGTACTATCCCATTTCCAGTATGAACAGATCTACTTATGGAGCACTCATAATAATACTGAATAAATACATGTTGCCTTAAAGGGTTATCTAGTATCTTCCATTTTGTTTCATTTTGAAACCAATTCGATTGGTAACTCGAGTCAGTCATATGGGAGTGCATGAATGAACGATGCAAGCCCCTCTTTCTTTGAACTCCTATTGTTCCCTGAATCAGTATGCACATCACCTAGCTGAGCTCAGCTTGCCACATCCAGATGTGCTGCCCATTCTGCTTCACCTTAAGAGACACAGGCAGTGGAGGATGTTTATATTTGAATTGAGCTGTCTTGAAGAGACTGCAGCCTATGGGGGGCATTTATCAGAACTGGAACAGACAGAATCTGCAGCAGTTGCCCATGGCAACCAATCGGCTTCTCTCTTCAGTTTGATCAGTAACATTGATGTTAAGGTCAAAAGAGCTGTAAGCTATTTCAAATGCTAATTAAATCACTTACAATGGATGCAGTTCCTTGATGTTTAAAGGTTTTATCTTCCTGCAGAATCAGCTGGTCCCCTGAGCACTGGTCCTAATATCCTGTTTTAGAGTGGCTCCTCTTCCTTGCAGGATCCTATGGAACCACCCTTTTGTGTGTGTTATTTAGCGGTGCATGACTCCACAAACATACAAGCAAGGCAAGAAACTCCCCGCTCCTCCTTCCTCCTCCTGCCCACTCTGCTTTCCTCCCTTCTCCCCACTCTGCTTTCCTCCCTTCTCCCTCCTCCTCACTCTGCTTTCCTCCTTTCTCCCTCCTCCTCGCTCCATTTTCCTCTTTTCTCTCCACTCAGCTTTCCTCCCTTCTCACCCCTTTCCACTCTGCTTTTCTCCCTCCTCCCCGCTCAGCTTTCCTCCCTTCTCACCCCTCCCCACTCTGCTTTTCTCCCTCCTCCCCACTCCGCTTTCCTCCCTTCTTCACCCTCCATTCTCCCTTCTCTAAGCTAGTAGATGGACGGCTGCTGGAGACTGTGTTGTCTCTTGTGATTTAGCACTGAACAGGAAGTTTAGGGAAATTGAGCTGAGAGAGATAGAGCTGTTCAGAAATATGATGACTGTACGTGTTTGGGCAAAAATAATAATGAAATAAACATTTTCCTTGGCTATGTATATTTGTTTGATGTGGATTCATTCTTGAAAAAGTTTGAGAGTTTAACACTACTTTAAGGTTTGAAAATGAAAGAGAAAAGCTGATTGGTTGCCATGGGCACCTGCTCCAGATTCTGTCTGCTTCAGTGTTGATAAATTACCCTATTAGTATGATATTTTGCACACTTTGGGAAGCATTTATTCTACTGAAGGCACAGTCTACTTTCTACTTTCTGCACATTTTGGTGTATTGGTTGTTTCAATTATTTCCTTTTTTGTTTGTTTTTTTCTTCTTGTAAAAACATATAATTTTTAGCATTCTAGAAGAACATTATAGTCTGTGAGTCTTTCATTCTTTAAGATACAGATGTGTGTGGAATTGAAATATAAAGTTGCATTTGCCAAACTTTTCCTGTGTAGCTTGTTAATTTTTTTCTGGAATAAAATTTTACATTTTTCCAGTTCGGCAACTAACCTGATTTTTTTAGTGATCTGGAGTGGACTAGTGAGAGTGTGGATCATGAGTTTTCTTTTAAGTGATTATTGCATTCAGAAACTGAAAACACATGATTGATGGATGCTGCAATATGTTTGGTATATTTATAAATTACTGCCTAATATGTCCTTCTGGCGTGATACATATTAGGTTTGAAATGCGTGTTGTGTTTTCCGGTTTAATTACCAAGAAGGGGGCTGAAAATGGGGACAAGGGATAAAACATCATGGGGGGAATTTATAAAAACTGAAGCAGGCAGAATCTGGAGCAGTTGTTATAGCAACCAATCAGCTTCTATCTTCAGTTTGTTCAGTTAAGCTTTGAAGATAGAAGCTGATTGGTTACCATGGACTTTGTCTGCTCCAGTTTTGATAAATTCCCCTCCATGAGTTTGTTAGTAGGTCACCTGTGCCCACCAAAATATGGCTACATAGTCATGGGACTGTATTCACTGGGTACGCAGGCTCTGGGGTTTTTGGAACAGCCAGGCAATAACAGAAGCAGGGATGACACCCAAGGCTGAGAGTAGATTGTCTGCAGGCCTTCGGCCAGAGGGGGAAACCTGGCACAGAAACATGGCACAGGTAAGTGTGAGAGGTTATTGTCATATTGTATCATTACATGATTGGTGCTGTATACCTTACAATGTGAGAAGTATGAAATAATGATGGTTAAATACAACATTACATAGCTAAATGAATATGTACACAGATAGACATGTCTGTGAATGGTTGGCTATATTTGAGATAGTTCAGTAGTCACAGACAGTAGACCTCGTTTATCAACGTGTCTAGAAGAAGTGTCTGTATTAATCCATTGCACCAATCACATTAATTGAAGACAATTTCAGTCTTCGAGAAGACATTCAAAAATTCGAGGGGAAATCGGATTGTTTGTGGGGTCAACCAAGACAGTTCTTCTCTCCAACACTTTGATAAATGTGAGATACTTTCAATACTTTCAGTGTCAAATGAAAAAAATTAAATTCTCACATATATGCTGTTTTTCCAAGGTTGAAAGATAGAATTAGAAGGCCCTTATC